ATTATGTTGAATAAAAGATTATTTATGTACTCTTCCGATGCACGGGGTAAACCTTGGCGAAAATTAATGGTTCCAAACTTCTTCACTTCCACCCAAATACTCCAACATCTATTTCTACTCTTTTGAAAAATCAGATTCAAACACCCTCTATCAATGTTCTAAAAGGCGCTAGGCGCTAGTCGGGCGCCAACCCAGCGCCTAGCGCCTAGGCGGCTAGGCGGGCGCCTAGGCGGCTAGGCGGAGACTAGTCGGAGACATAGAAATTGCATTTTTATCTATATTTTTGCATAAATATGATACGTAATATTGTGTTTTTGTGTGTATAAAATACATATATACATATACATCAACAAACATGAATGATATAATTCTCACATTTAATCATACGTAGTATATGATAACTAATCATTTAACTTCATTATGTTATAAATATAAATAATGATAAAATTCAGGTATATATACAAACATATATGGTTTTATCTTTATTTACAACTTCATTTCTTTATATCCATGGTTAAAGTTAAAGTATGTATATCGCTTAGAAAATTAAAATTAAAAAGTGAAGTAATTTTGACAAATTAGATGCCCTAGGCGGCCGATTAGGCGCTCTAGGCGGGCAACTAGGCGCCATAGGCGGGCGACTAATTCACCTAGACGGCAAACCAATTAGTCGGAGCGCCTAGACGAAAATCGGGGCGCCCGACCACCGCCTAGCGCCTAGGCGGGGACTAGTCGGGCGCCTAGAACGATTTTTAGAACAGAGCCCTCTATACATAGTGTTAGGAAGGAGGAATGTGTACCCAATCGGTTATCAAATGCACTAACACGGAAGGTGAGTTTTTGCATCATACCCAATCAGATATGTGAGTTAACCTGATCCTAAAATACTGCTTCCCTATACCAATTCATGCTCATCTGCCGCTCTTGGATGACTACATTAGTGTGCCTCCTACATCTTCAACGTTTGCCGACTGGTTTCAATTCCACCGCCGTTGCTTCTAGGGGTGCGCACAGTCCGGGGTGAACGAGATTTGGATTATCCTAATAGATGTCCCGAATTAAAATAAAGGTTTAGATCGAATGGGACGGGACAAGACATTGTTCTATTATTGTCCCATTTAAATCGATACCTAAACAAAACGGGACTTACTGGAAAATATCTACTATAGATTAATTGCATCACAAAAAAAGGAATGTAATTTGAAATAAAAGAAAAACAACAGAAAACAACAAGACAAACAAAATGCAACACGAAAAATACAATAGTTCCCAATACATCAACCAAAACTTAACAATATAATACTTTCCTGTTTCCATGTTCCTTAAACAAATTCATCTTTGAATTTTTTTGGCAACACTACAAGAAAAGTGCACATAGACTGCACATGGACCACAATTTTTTTTGCGATAGCAGCATAACTGTCGTTAAAAACACCATTAACCACACATTTTTATATTTACCACACAGAAAAATGTGGTAAAAGCTTAGAGACGACAGTTTTTAACCGTGACCAATGTTTTTACCACAGCTGTTGTGCCGACGCACGTAAAACTGTCGCAAATATGTCGTAAAAACATAAAGAGGAACTTCACTGTCTTTGTTTTTGGGCACGACATATTTAACCGTGCCCACCCTAGTTGCTTCCTACGCCGGTTCCGCCTCCACCGTCTTTGTTTCTCTTCGCCGATTTACCTCCACCATTGATGCCTTCTTCTCCCATCTAAAATGCAACTTTTTCTTTTTTTTTCCTGTAACTTTTCAATCTCTATATTGTATTTTTAAATATTTTTATAAAAACACCAGGAAATGTTCCCCGGCACTTCCTCCGCCATGAGTGGTTCGCTTCGGGCTTTAAAGAAAAATCCTGCACACAATCCACAGTTCCATTTAAACGAGTGTTGTATGCAACATCCATTATTGGTATTCTTGAAGATACTTCTTGAAAACTGGAAAATGAAAACAGAAAATTGAAGAACGGATAACAGAAGTAGAAAACGGGAAAATATCGGTGTTAGTAAACAAGCCCTTTGCCTTATGTTTTTAAAGAAAAAATGTTATAGCATAATTATGTACACTTGCCACACGCGATCTATATTTCACATGATCATTCTTTCAATTACGAAATCCGTTCCTCACAAACACATTATCTCCATATATCTTTCCTTCTTTCCCATGAAAAAAGCAACATCAAAAGCAAAAAAAGCGACACCTAAACATACATATTAAGTTTTCAAAATACTCGTCACTAATAATTATTAGTGAAAACCTAATACTCCCTCCGTCCAGAATTATAAGATACTTTTCGGTTTATGATGTTTGACCAACGATAAAGTAAACAAATCCTTGTCTGCACTCAAATTATTTTTAGAAAAAAAATACATATTCAGAAACTACATTAAAAGTTTTACAAAGTCGCAAAAAACTGAATCAAATTTGATAAAAATTTGATATATAAACTAAGAGCATCTTTAATGGGTCTGTCTATTCTTAAGAATGCATAGCCACGTAAATAAAAATGGAAGGAAGGTAAAAAAGTCTTCTCCAACGGAGTAGTGAATTTGTCTTGTGCTGCTGAGTTGGAACAGAAAAAAATCCACACCCACTACCTCACTGTCGACTTTTAGCAAGGCTCCTCCAAGACGTGACTAAGCAATCAATTAATTTTTTGCAAAAATTCTGGAGGCCAAGCGATAAAGTTTCGCTAGAATCGTACAATATATGTTGTAGGTTTGAAAACGTCTCATTAAATTCCTTTCCATGCTTCTTTCAGTTGTGCGGTGCAGGGCATATATCTTCTGGATTAGATCAAGCTTTTTCTAGAAACTTTTGCTAGAAACGTTTTCCCATCTTTGATGTATTTTTCTAGAATCCATATTTGTGTTTAATTAATTGGATGAATGAATTAGATGAAAGGAAAATTACTACGTATATATATTATATACTAGTATTATATACTACGTATATGTGTGTATCGTAATATATAGATAGATGCAGTTCCGTGAAGGGATACGTATGACTAATTTTGATATTCAGGTGCGGATGCATTGGAGAGGAAGTTTTATTTTAAATGTGTGTGGATCCACCTCAGCTCCACGGACTATGGATATCAGTGACGTGTCCATTTTATATGAGGTACAATCCATTTTCCCATTAAAGATATTCTAAGATATTAAAAGTGATTTGTGTTGACCAAATGAATAATCAAGATATCTTATAAAATGGGACCGAGGGAGTAATTAGGTTTTCATATTCCTTGATGACCATGATCTCTCTTACACCACACATTGGCCATTTTTTCTCTTCTGAAATATTACTCGACGTAAAAACTCCATAACAATGAGTAAGTTAATCTACAATATATTTTCTCTTTCAATATATTCAAAAAAACAGTTTTAAACTTTCCATGATGTTTTTTTATGAGAATAGCCCAATTAATGCTCTATGTTTGAGAAAAGGGAAAACTGTCAAATAGGTCCTCGAACTTTCATAAAAAGGTCAATTAAGTCCTTCTATAGGAGGTTTTGTCCGACCGTCGCGATTTGGGGCAGTTCCCGGTAGAATTTTTTGATGAAATTTTTTGAGCATCTTATTCACCAAGTCTAGTTTACTCATACCAAATTTCAGCTAAAAATTCAATCGGGAACACATTCAAATTAATTCTTGAAGATAACTGCGCATTTTTGCGTCCTCAAATTAATTTTAATGCGCTCCAGATTAAATTTTTAGCTAAAATTTGGTATGAGTAAACTAGACTTGATGAATAAGATCCTCAAAAAAATTCATCAAAAAATTCCACCGAGAACCGCCCCAAATCGCGACGATCGAACAGAGTCTCCTATAGAAGGATTTAATTGACTTTTTTATGAAAGTTCGAGGACCTATTTGACAGTTTTCCCGTGAGAAAACGGAAAACTTTTGGTTTTAAATAGATATAAAAGGTAGGAAAAGAAACATTTTTTGCTAATAAGCTGATGGTTTTTTGGTTTAGACTTTTGAAACACATATCTCAAAGCAATTCCCACACTTCCACACTCTGCACAATTTATTTTATAACAACAAATTGATCATCACACCCTTTGATCCATGCTTTTGTCAGCAGTAAAAACACACAGACCGAGCCGAACAACACATACAAATGAAGCAAGCATCCATTGAAACCCATTAACTATTGTATCTGTTTCACGAAAAACTCAATCTTTGTTTCAGAATATGGAGGCATGCCGCATGCATAAAGCAAATAAAATGATAGTTGTGGATATGGAAGAACAGTGAATTATCAAATCCGAGGTAGCAGAGAGCATAGGCTCCTTCCAATGTAGTAAATGTAGAAACAAGTAATTGGAAAAGTGGGAAAACAAACCAGACATAACTTTTACGGTTAGTTTTTTATAATCCCATGTCAAAAGAGTGCAAAATAAAATTTTGAATTTGAATGATATATGAAGCCTAGGCTGTGTAGAATTATTGTTTGAATAATTTCTTTTAGTCGCCAGGGATATTTGTGGTGCACAACATTATGGTTTTGGACCCCAACTGAACTACCTACTTTCTCCGAGTGGTGAACCCTGCACATAATAAAGCTCAAGGCTTTTACTTCCCAGGAGCTTTACTGGAGCATTACAAACGCTGAATAAACTTGCTCCATTGGAAATGCTACATAGTTAATGAGTTGTGCTTTATTTTGTATTTGCAATTTACTTTTAATATTTCTCATCAGCTCATCTAAGTATCTAACCAGTTATATTTTTTCCAGGGCTCTTCTTCTCTTATAGTGTTGTCCCTCTACTAATTATGATTGGAAAGCATTAGCTGATCTTTCTCTAGAACAAAAATGGCTAGATGGACATTTACTCTCGATTCTCAAAGCAGTTAGGAAAAAATCACAATAAAAATGGAACTATCCTTTCTTTAATGTAAAGGGAAAGGAAGTTCAGCTTCAGTAGATAACTAAATTTACTCATGCCTCCACGAAATTTGAAGAGATGGTTCAAATTTGACAACAAAATATATACTTGAACTCTTGAAGAGATGGTTCAAATATGATGAAAGGGAAAGCAAGTACTTTTAACAGCATGTTACGTAGTTTTCACTATTTTCTATATAAATGAAGCTAATCCATCTGAAATCTGATCACTAAAATATAAAGAAATTAAACCAATCCAAAGTATTCATCCATGTCCTTGATCTGGCTTACATACATTACAAGTCTGAAATCTAAAAGAGTTAATATATCCAAGGTTCGAGATTAAACTTTGCTTCATCAATCATAAAAAAGGCAAATTTACTGTTTCCCACAGCATCATAGAGGATTCTTTGCTAACACATATTCGCCATGTTTCTGAAAAACTCAACATAAAAACCAAGACAATCGACCTAGTTAATGTAGAACAGATTTGCTCATTAATAAAAAAACTCAAAAACAGGTCTAATCTTTCCAAGTTTCCATGATGAGAAACGCAACACCAGTGTTCTCTTCATTTAGGAAAAATTGAAAATTTCTGGTTTCAAATGCATACATTGTAGCAAAAGATAACATGTTTGTTAATAAGTGAACGGTTTTTGTTTTAAACTTTTGAAACACCTCTCTCAATGAAATTTCTGAATCGACTGGTAATACCCATATGTGTTCTCGTTAATAATTTTTAGTTCCACATTTCCACACATGCAAAGTTAAACTTCCACGCATCACACACCACATTATGCACATTTTATTTTATAACAACAAATTGATCATCACACCCTGAAATATGATATACTTATGGCCTCTGTCATCCTATAGTAATAATAAAAGAAGTGAATGTCAACCATTGATCAATGCACTATTGCCATTAAGGGCTATTGGAATATCAGTAGAGAAATAAAATTGGGCATTTTAGACCCATCATATGAACCAGCCTGGAAAAAACAGATGAATACATACAAGATCCTGTTGACTTGCTCGATCTGAAGTTTCATATGGACCTTAAGCTTAAACCTCAGTAAGATATGTTCACTTCATGCTATTTAAATGATAATAAAACCTCTCTCATCACCTCACAGTCCTCTTCTTTGGAAAAAATATGATCGATACATTCAGAAGTAAGGAGTATAAAATAACATCAAATGGACTGCATCACAAACATCTAGGGCTGGACTCGGGCCGGTTCGGGCCCGGCCGGGCCTCGGGCCAGGAAAGGGAGGCCCGAGCCCGAACCGCCGGTGGCCGGTCCCGGTTCCGGGCCAAACCGGGCCGGGCCGAACCGGCCCAATTAATTTTTTTTTGTTCTCCTATTTAATCCCCTACCCTTCCCCCTCAACCCCAAACCATCCCAAACCACCTCAAATGGCCCAAAATACCTAATCCAACCTAAAACTTAAAAAAATTTCAAAAAAAAAAAATTAAAATCCGGCCCGGACCGGGCCCGAACCGGCCGGGCCGGTTCACCAAAACCTAGGCCCGAGCCCGAACCGCCCAGCAGCCGGGCCGGGCCGAACCGAACCGGTGGACCCACCGGGCCCCGGGCCGGGCCAAACAGTAACCGGGCCGGGCCGGTTCCGGGCCGGGCCGGTTCCGGGCCGGGCCGCCCGGCCCGAGTCCAGCACTACAGACATCTAAGCCAAAAATAATGCTTGGTTCTTTAAATTAGTATGGAAGATGTCACAGTTAGTCTTGTGATATTCAAATACATTTATAGCTAGAAACAACAATTAATATATTCTTTTAATGATAAAAAGGTCCAAATATTCCAAAACGTGTTAAAACCTGCATTTGTGCAGATCACCATACCGGCCTCCTGCAGCCTGCTTACTCCATATGACCATATGGCAATTCAAAAGTTTGAACATATGAACACATTCCAACCATGCTCTGATATTCATCTTTTGGTACAGAGAACATCTCTTCTACGTTTCCTTCTTCCACATCATAAACACATATTCTCCCGTACTCTTTACACGTGATGGTTAAAAGTTGAGTTTTTATATGTGACCGTGTAATACCAATCCCAAACTGGAGATAAGTACTACACATTATACATGTGTCATACGGAGTATAATACTAGGTATAAAAACTTTTAATAAGAACGAATAAGTCAACAAAAATATTCCTATATAATACGAGTGATAGACGACTTGGTGTGCAAATTATACTCAACAATAAACTTTAGCTTGTGCAAGGACGAGAATCCAATAGAACCCCAAACATACATGCAACATAGAGGAGGATCATTAGCCATACCAACATTCCGTCAAGGCCACATGTCCTGGACTCGGATGTCCTACATAGAAAATATTAACACGATATCAAATACTACAAATAGTTTAGCTCAAACTCTGGTACTAAGTATGTATGTTACCTTACTAATAATCAGCAAGCTAAGGGGCTAAATAGCATGAAATCATTTTCCTAATTACTAAAAAAGGAAATAAAAAAAGAATATGAAAATAAGCAGGAAAAATAGAAGAAGTGTAAGAGGGGGCACGAGAGTTGGGCAACCTACAGGGGACGCTGCAGGAAGATAGAAGTTAGAAAGAAAAGGTAAAGAAGAAAAGAAAAATTGGAAAATGATATATGAAGCCTAGGCAGGGTAGAATTATTGTTTGTATAATTTTTTGCCAGAATCGGGGATATTTAGGGCTCACAACATGATCATTATCTCCCGCAATGACTGAACAACCTATGTTCTCAGAGTGGTGAAACCTATGAATAATAAAGCTGAAGGCTTTTACTTCCTCAGGAGCTTTACTGGAGCTTTAAGAGCTCTGCTGCTCTGAATATATAAACTTGCTTCATTGCAAATGCTACATATTTAATGAGTTGAGCTTTCTTTTGTATTTGCAATTTACTTTTTATATTTTCATCAGCTCATATGACTTGTTATATTTTTTGCAGGACACTTCTTTTCTTATAATGTTGTACCTCTATTGGCATTAAGGGCTATTGGATTGATGAAATAAAAATATGTATCACTGATTGTATATTTATTAATGACATGTTGATACTCAAATGAAAATTGTTATTCCCAGTCAGAAAGACTACTATACCACGCATAAGGTAGGATTTAAAAATACTCAAAATAACATCGAATAAATATTAACTAACCTGGAAAAAACACATCAATACATATATACACGATCCCTTTGACTTGCTCTGAAGTTTTAAATGTACCTTAAGGAAAAAACTCAGTAAGTCATGTTCACTACTATGTACTATATAGTACATACTATTGTCAAATTAAAAGATATTAGAGGCAAATTCTGTAAACATACCCTGTTCCATCACCTCATAACACTCTTCTGTGCAGTGGGAAAAATAATATATATTCCAAATATAATATCACATCAATTAAATATAAATGCTAGGTTCCTGAAATTAGTATGTAGCAGTTCTTGATATTCAAACACTTATAGCTATAAGCAACGATTAATGTATTCTTTTAATCATATAAGGATTAAAATCAAATATTCCAAAACGTGTTAATTAAAACCTGCATTGGCGCCGATCACGATTCCTCCAGCTTACTCCATATGGCAATTCAAAACTTTGAGCATAGAAACACATTCTAACCCTGCTCTCATCTTCATCTTTTGGTATATGGAAGAACCTCTGTTCTAGTTTGTCTTCTTCCCCATCATAAACATATAATCTCCCGTTGTCTTTACACATAATGGTTAAGTTCTTGCTTTTATGTAGGGAAAAAAATGTGAGGTTGTATATATTAAAGTGCCGCCCAAATCCCAAAATGGGGATGGCAAAGATTGTGACCCAAGACTCTGGGTTCCCATATTCTTTCATAACTGACACTTGAATGACATTCCTCCCTTGATACCATTGACCAATGCAGAAACATCCCTCTATGATTCCTGTACCATATATGTGGTTTTCCTCTTCTAGATTATTTTTTGTAGGGGTGGGCAATTGTTTGAAAGTGTTATCAACCGGGTCGTAATAAAGCACCTTATTGACATGAACTGTTCTGAGAGAAGGACTCCTAATTTTGTCTCTCACTATCCAATGGAGAGTATTGTTGAAGTTGACACCTGCTCTTGTAGTATGGTGTTCATATGGGAAGGACAGTTTTCGCCACCCTTTGTTTTTCAGGCCCGAAACAATCACATACTGATCACCAATTCTGATAGTACTAGACTTACAAGAAAGCAATAAGACAACCTTGTACTCATTAGAGGATGGGCCGTAACAAAGCCCTCCAAGCTCCTTCCATGTAAGCATATGGAGCCGTGGAAGCTCAAGAACTTTGGTGGAACGTCTTACAAGAGGGTTCCACAAGATAATGTGTTTTTCAAATATAAGAAGCACTAACCCATTACAAGAACACAAATCCCGATCCGCATCAATACTGTTACGAAAACGGTGGGCCGTTATGGCGCAGACCTGAGGCTCAACAGTGAACTGGGATGTGTTTTCAGTGCGAAGATCAAGGCGTATTGATCTCACTTTCAGACGTTTTGCTTCATGGATATCTTTTACACGCGAGAGGATGAGAAGACGGGGCTGCCCGATGTGGAAGGCTTTAATGTCTTGCACGAAGGAATACCACTCTTTGCTGACAGACTGGGCTGTGACCAGATGCCTGCCTTCCAGCCTTAAGAATATGTCGTGGTTGATCTCGGACGGAAGGGTTGACAGTGGGTTCCGGAGACTCATTTTGATTCTACGAAGAGAGGGGATCAGATATGGCCGGCTGCGTATTAATGGAGTATTTAGGGTTGGATGAGATGCACGCACCTTAGGGCCTGTTTGGATGGAGTGTTTGGAAGTGTTAGTAATGGAAGTGTTAGTAAGTGTTAGTAAAGGCTCGGAAGGGAAGGGAAGGGAAGTGTAAGTGTTAGACATAATTTTACCTTGTTTGGGAGAGTCAAATGAATGAAGTGTTAATAATGGAAGTGTTAATAATTTTACCTTGAGGCAAAAGAAACGACTAAAGAGAAGAGATGAAAAAACAAACCATCAGACCCGTGGGAAAGACATTCGAAGTGAAATGTCGAAGCATTTTATGTTTTTCGGGTAAATGAGAAGGGTAATAATTGTGCAACACCTCAAAACACTCCAAATCGGGGTGTTAAAAAAATGGACAATTGAGGTGTTGGGAAGGTTATTATTAACACTTCCTAACCATTACTAACACTTCTTAACACCTCTGGATTTTTCTCCCAAACAAGTGTTAGCATCAACACTTACTAACACTTCCATTACTAACACTCTTGAACACTCAATCCAAACAGGCCGTTAAACCCTGTTTTTCCGTAAATCAATTTATGCTCATCTGCCGCTCCAGGAAGTCTACACTAGTGTGCCTCCTCCATCTTCAACCTTTGCCTACTGGTTTCAATTCCACCTCAGTTGCTTTTGGGCGGACATGGTCCGGGATGGAATAAGATTTGGGTTATCCAATACCTGTCCAGGATTAGGGAGGGGTTGCTATTGCTTGAGCCTCTTAAGAGTGATTTGTTTAAAAGATTATTGGAAAAGTGATTTAATGTAAAAGTAGATAGTGTTTGAAAATAGAAATAATTTTTATTAAAAGTAAAAATGGGAGTGTTTGCTAAAAAAGTGATTTTTTTGAAGTACATTGTAAAAGTACAAATTTACCATTCCCAATTAAATACCATGGACCCATCTCTTTCCTCGACCTTTCCTTTCATTCCAGCAAGCATGCTCTGTGTTCAACTAGCGAGTTCCATATTCTTTGATTTCAGCTTCTTCTTTGCACAATCAGATTCGGAACTTCAATTTCAGGTTTTAAATGGAATATAGAGTTTAGCTTCCATGCTTGAGATTTTCTTATGTTTCATCATTTCAGTTTGTTTTAAAATGGAATATGGGTTTCAGATTATAAACGGGAATATTTCTTGGCATCTTTAATTCCAAAGTTCTCACTTTCACTTATAGAGGAACAGAGGCAATGGAGGGGAGAGCGGTGATTCACTGAAGTAATAACAAAAACTTGAATTGCGAAATACATTGTGATGGGAGACGATTGTGGCGAAAGAAAAAAACAGAAACCTGTAGTAGTAGGCCATCAACATTGCGGCAATTCGTTGAAGAGAAGGACTCAATCTTGACATTTGCAGTGACACAGTTTGGGAGAAGAAGCTGAATGACGAACGAAAATGGAGACGGGCGGATGGGTTATAATTATTGCGGGGTATTTTGGGGGTTAGATAATTTTTTTGGCATTATCATTAGTCATAAAGTTGGAGATATTTACAATTTTACCTAGAAGCTATTAGAAGCTGGGGTACTCTAGCTTTTAGATTTTGGCTTTAAAGCCCTTTTTTAAGCCAAAGTTGGGGTTAGCAAACACTTATATTGGCGTTTTTTAATCTAAAAGCTCCAAAGCACCTTTTCTAAGCAAACAAAAACACTCCTTTAGAATAACCCGTGGAGGAATTAGGGAGGGGCCTAGGGGCAAGTGCCCCCGCTTCTCACCATAGTAAAGTTTAATATTAGTAATTAAGATAAAAATTGTGCTACTGCTATCGAACGAAAAAATAGAGTATTTTTCACAAATATTACCGGAGTATAACTAATGAACAGAATCATGATCACTAAAATTGATATGGTAGTACTTAAGTCATATTTTTGTCCACTATCTTTATTTCAATCATATTGTCATTATTTCAAAAAACTATTAGATATAAAGGACTCCATCGAATACATATAATAATTGTAGTAAGAAATACTATGTACTACGTATAAACAACTCTGAAGTTGTAATGGAGCAAATTCTTATAGTTAGATATGTTGTTATATGATTGCTACATTGTCTTTGAAAAGTGGCTTTTATACTTGGTGTGAATAATGTCAATTCAAAATTAAAGTTCAAAGGTACGAAAAAGGTTCTAATATGCAAGATAGACTTAATAGATTGAAGGCTTTTATCTTGAATAAAAGTCCATACCTGAAAAAATGTGTCAATTAACGATACTCGTAAAAGGTAGATATATAGAATCATATTATTAAATAAAGTTGTATTAAATGATAAAATTCTAAACTTGACTTATATTTCATTTTTAACACGATAGTATTATATTTGAGACAAGTACCAACAAATTTTGTGGCACAATATATAACAACGACATGATCCTAATTCAAATATGAAATCTTGATCATTTTATAGTATGAAAAATAGCAAAAATTCTAATGTAAAATCATAAACGGCGCAAAGATGAGTCATTTCTAATACGCCAAATTATGTCTTTCTTTTAAAAAGTCAAATATTATTGTTTAGAATTGTCTTAATGAGTTCAAAATTAGACTTATATCCATATATGTTCACTGCTTGACTTCGGCATTGAATAATCTATTTCCAATTAAAAATATTAATTTGAACGCACTTGACAAAAAAGACCATTGATACACCCAATTCGGCCCGACCCAATCCATTTTCATCTATGTGGGAGTGCCCCCGCTTCGTAAAACTTCTGGGTCCGCCACTGAATAACGGTTTGAAACAATACGAGACACAAAATTGTTTTATTATTGTCCCATTTAAATCCGTACCGGAACAAAACGAGACGTTTAGACTTAAAAATATCTAAACAAAATATAATAATTTGCACCACAAAAAAAGGAAAGTAGTTTGAAATAAAAAAACAACACAAAACAAGAAGACAAACAAAATGTAACACAACAAATAAAATAGTTCCTAATACAACAACCAAATTAAAACCTAACAGTATAAATGTATAATACTTTCCGTAATCCTTGAAAGATTGACATCTTTAATTTTTTTTGACAATCAAGTTAAACTTTGACCAGTGATATATTTTTAGGAAGTGTAAAATTAATAACTTTCATAAAATTGTATTAATCAATATCATTTGTCAAAGTTTATCACCGTTGACTCAAAAAGTCAAAGATACCAATGTTACTCTCTCAAACCCATTTTGTAAAATATGTTTCATATTCACTAGGTCAACACAAATCACTCTGAATCTCTTACTTTATATATCAAAATTTTATCAATTTTTGCGACTTTATAAAGTTTTTAATGTAGTTTATGAATATGTATTTTTTTTTAAAAATAATTTGAGTGCACACAGGATGCGTTTGCTTTAGCGTCGGACAAACATCGTAAACCAAGTGTCTAACAATTCGAGACGGAGGGAGTATAAGGGATGGAGGTAGTTTATTTTTGTGCATGTATAAGTTACCGGAAAATTATCCACATGCCACTGTGACATGTTTTACGGAGGCAGTGGCATGCATCCATTAGTGACATGAAAATTAGGCAGTGACATCTACTAGTGAAATGAAAATTTTACAACGACTTCATGTCTTCCAAAAAATATGACCCCGTTAGCTATGGTGCTTTTACTTGAATTGTTTTTAGTCCCAACAAGATCAGCCTAGACCAGACTTAAACATACTAGACCAGACTAGACTTTCATAGTTATAAAATACATTGAGAGCAAACATTTACCAAACCAACCAAGATAAGACCAGACCAGACTTAAACAGACCAAACCAGCAAATTATTGTCCAAGTAAAAATATCCTTAGTTAGGGGTGGGATCGGGATGATCCCGATCCCGATTGCCAAAATCTCGATCCCGATCCCGATTCCAAATATAAGAGGATCCCGTATCCCGTCCCGATTAAGTCGGGATGCCGACATTAAAATTAAAATCCCGATTAAGTCAGGATCCCGACCGGGAATCCCACTTAGTCCCGACAATGAAGTAGCAAACAAAAAATTATGTAAATTCTTAGTTAAACACTAACTTTGATATTTAGTGGTTTTAACATTATTCTTTGGTCATTATTATATCATATTTATCATCATCTACTTATAAAATAATTTGTAATAATTATCATCTCAAATTTACACTAGTACGTACTTTTAGAATAATATTTATTTATAACTTCAATTAATTAATAGTATAATTTTTGAATAAGCTATCAAGGCTTGGTGAAGCTTTGTTATTCTCAAACTCGTTGAGAAACTTTGTGATTAATGAATATAATGTATGAATACAATATTATGATTATTTACTAAACATATATGTCTTAGTCTCGATCACGATTTTTTAAAGAGTTATCAAAACCGCAAAAAATGTAATATTATTGTGATTTAGATTGTCGGAATCAAGAATAATATCTATTTAGTTAGAATCCAGAATATTCAGTTTGGGACAAATGTCGAATAATTTTAGAAGTTTAATATTATAACATAAAAGATTAATCTATTTAAGGAATAAGTAAGTAAAAAATATATGCAAATATTTAGATACATATTCATTTTTTATAAATGTATATTCTTTTTTATAAATTCATATAGCGTGGGGATGTTGAGATTCTGCCAATCCCAACTTTTTTTAAAAAAATCCCTGCCCCGTCTCGACTTAGTTGGGATCAAGAAAAATTCTCGACTAGTCGGGATCAAGATTGTCGGGATCAAGATTGTCGGGATCAGGAATATCAGGATTGTTGGGATCAGGAGTCGGGATTCAAGAAAAATTTCCACCCCTATCCTTGGTCACATTTTTGTCCATAAATAAGACTGACCACTTTTTTAGAAATTAACTTGAATTTAGTCATATTTATGGAAAACCCTATTTTAAAAAGAAATTGCCTTTATTAAAATAAATTGAAAACAAGAGTGTACATCAAACTCAACTTGAGAACCCAAACTCCCTCTAGACTCAATATCTGAAGATCCTCTCACTCTATGATCAGACATAGAATTATTCCTACCTGAAAGAGAAAGAGAAGGCCAATTCACTAACCATGTAAGAGTTTTGAAGACAACTTATTCCCCTTGAGCCCATAACATTATTAAAAGCAAGTAACTAAAAACAAAACAAGTACTGATTAGAAAACTAAAATAAGAACCCACAAAAACTCTTCTTAATTTGCCAGCTTGCCAACATCCATGTCCGGCCCCAACTATCACTATTCTTCTGAACTAGAAATCTTGGCGAGCCGACTCGACTTTTTTTGGCTCCTGAATCTCAATTTTCATGCATGCATTTGCTTCAGTTGCCTCATCAGCTTCCAAACGTCGAAAAGAAATTTTATTAAAACACCATGACTTACCCGAATATGTTCTAACATATAGTTCTCCTTCCCGTATTTCGAATTTAAAACACCATGACTTATCTTTTTGGTTATGTTTTGATTATCATGTTTTAACAATTTCTCTTTAAGAAAAGGAGAATATAGATTGAGTGAGATTATATATAACAAAAAATGACTTTGCACTCAAAATGATTTGTAATATAAGAAGAATAATTCATCGAGTGAGTGGGTGTACAAAAAAAACTGCTTTCTTCTTTTCTTTCAAATGAATCATTCCACCCCCCCCCCCCCTTTAGGGGGTCTGTTTATTTTATTATCTGATTTTCTTTTAATGTTCATCTATGTCAACAAGCTTACCTTTTCCTGAACAATGACATAAAAAAATCTAACTAATAATGTCAAACATTTGTTTAAAAATATGGCTGCACATGTTGAACTATACAATCAAACAAACTCTTGAATCAATCAGAACGTGAAATGCGAATTTATAACTCTTATCTTTAAACAAACCAATGGTTTTAGTTTTTCATTATGCTTTGCAGTTGTCAACCTCTACTTTATGAACTAAGATGATTTATGATGGTCTAACATCTATATCATCATTTTGAAATCAAAGGACATTATTATATAGACTCCCTCATCAATGCATTATGCACACTATTATATAGACTCCATCTTGATGGTTATGAGTAGTTTCTTCATTTACTTGAATGGTAGAAATGTTCACTTACTTAGTGTTAATATTTTTTTTTTTGGATGAACTGTAAGTATATATAAGAAACCATCCAAAGGAGTTTAAATGTACAATCAAAAGGGTAGGCAAAAATGTAGGCTGCCCAATAGTTGGATAGCCCAAACCTTCAAACGGAGCAATCTATTCTAGCTAATCTCGGCCCAAGTAAAAGGCAGCAATATTGTTGTCAAAAAAGCATCAAAATATGAGGATAGATGCGATACAAAACTTTGTACACAATGTACTTAATCCTAGCAAAAATATCATCTTCCATGGGCAAAAAACCATCAATATGGTGGCATTACGGATCCTCCAAATCCAATATATAGTGAAGCACAAACCAATCTGTGCAGCTTTGGATTTAATTCCAGCTCCTTTTCTTTCCTTCAAGATCCACTTCACCGAGCTTGCCAACGTCCCCCTAAGCCGCGGCATATGCATCCAGTCCTTCACCATCTTCCAGATTTTACCTGTAAATGAACATTCAAAGTAGAGGTGTGGAACCGTTTCCGGTCCACCCTTGCACAAGACACAAGTGTTAGCTACATCCAATCTATAAAGATTGTCACAAGTAGCCAACCTATTCCGGAATGCCAACCAAGTTGTAAAGGAAAACTTTGGAGGAATATAATTCTTCCATATAAAGGACATCCATACTCGGCTCGGTGCTTTGCGTCTAAGGAGATTATAGACCTTAGAAGAAACAAGTTTACCTCCAGTTTGGAAGAGAAACAAGTTTACCTCCAGTTTGGAAGCTTTGTAAACAATATATGGAACTTGGTATATCATCAAATCTTGCCACAATATCATCCCGGATCAAGGCAATTTTCTTCATTAGTCGTGAGTCCCTATTGTGTGGGGAAAAGTCCCACACACTTCGGCCATTAAGGTATACATTATGAACCCATTTGACCCATAAAGTGTCCTTTTTGGAATGAATATCTTAAAAGGTTTTAGCAAGAAGAGCATTGTTCCAAACCTTGGTATCATGTATGCCAAGTCCACCATCCTCTTTGAGAAGGCAAATATCTGACCAAGCAACCCTAGAATACTTGCATCCCCCAAAGAAAGATGCGACATATGGCAGTAATTCTATCCAAAACAGCCTTAGGTATAGGAAACACTTGGAGCCAAAAGGAAAGTACTCCTTGTATTACAAATTTGATCAATTCAATTCTCCCCGCATAGGAAAGAGTTTTAAGATTCCAAGCACTAATTAAAGTACTTACGGTATCAATTAGAAGAGCATATTGAGTTACTGATATCTTGAGGGGAGCTAAAGGAACTCCAAGATATTTAACCGGAAAAGCACCAACCTTAAAATCAACAAGGTCAAGAATGTTATCTAGCTCATGGTTAGCCAAACCACCTAAGAAGATGTTTGATTTGTCATGGTTGACCCTAAGGCCAGATATGTTACCAAATTCTTCTGAAGTGTCAATGAGAATCTTGATAGAAGGGGCATCCCCTCTAGAAAAAAGCATGAGGTCATCCGCATATGCCACATGAGTTATTTTCAAGCTACCACATTTAGGGTGAAATTTGAACCTTAGATCCTTAGTTCTTTCACTCAAGAGCCTGGAAAGGTATTCTAAACATAATACAAAGAGGAGCGGGGACATGGGGTCTCCTTGTCTCAAACCCCTCTTACCATCAAAGTGTCCATGGAGTACACCATTGATTGATATAGAGTATGATGGAGTGGTGACACACTCCATAATCCAGTATACAAGTTTGTTTGGAAACCCCATATGTCAAAGCACATTTTGGAGGAAATCCCATGATATAATATCATAAGCTTTCCTAAGATCAACTTTAATCATACATCTTGGTGAGGTATGCTTTCTAGCATAACCTTTAACCAGTTCTTGAGCAACAAAGATATTATCAATCATTAGTCGTCCATCCACAAAAGCCCCTTGGGCAGGATCAATAAGGTCAGGTAAACAAGGGATCATCCTGTGAGAAATAATCTTTGTAGTGACCTTATATAAGACATTTGTACAAGCAATCGGCCTATAATCAACCGGGGTAGGAGAATGAGTGGTCTTAGGTATTAAGGCAATAATCGTGTGGTTTGTTTGTCTTAATATTTTTCCAGAACCAAAAAAGCCTTTAACAACCCCAATAACATCATTTCCAACAATGTTCCAGTTTTTCATTAAAAAAAAGCTGAGGTGTACCCATCAGGGCCAGGGGATTTATCATCCCCAATATCAAAAATGGCATTTCTAATCTCTAAATCAGTGATAGGAGCAATGAGGTTTTCACCAAGTTGATTAGTCACACAGTTTCCATTCTTGATAATATCTGGATCCAAACAAGAGTAGTTATGATACTGAGTACCAAAAAGAGAGGAGCAAAATGTGACAAATTCATGAGCAACTTGATCAATAGAGGTGGTAATAACTCCATTTGAAAGCTTTTGAGAATTTGAAACTGTTTAGAATTTGAAAAAAGTTTTCATCCTTAAGCCACATGTTATAGAATTTGAAAGGTTTAGAACCTTTCATGTGAGATTGACCAATGGTAACATGAGATGCTACATGATCAAATTCCACCTCCATGTCATGAAAGTGAGTAGTACATACTACATTCCGGGAGCTCGAATAAGAGTTCATGAGAACTCTATCCAATTTCGCCCAAAGAGAGCCTCTATTCCAAGTAAGGAAATTACCCGTGGAAGGGGTATCAACAAGGTTTGCTTGGATTTTAAGATCATTTAGGTCTTGTATGTAATAAGCCGGGGGGGGTACCCACTCTCTCATTTGGGCTTCCAACACAATTAAAGTCACCCATTACTAGTCAAGGGCTAGTAATGTTTGGTTCAAGGCTAGCAACATGCTCCCAAAGTTCCTTTCTTTCTAAAACCGTGTATAGAGCATACACAAATGTGATAAAGAACTCAAGTTGTGTAATTCTACACTTAAGTTGACAATGGATGTGTTGTTTGTCAACCTCAAGCACATGTATATCCACAAAATTAGGATTCCAAAAAATAGCAATACGGCCACCATCAATATTATCAAAGTTAGTAATGGAAGACCAAGAAGGCAATCTATTAGATCTAAACTTCTCAAATTTGGTAGTGTTCAACTTAGTCTCAAGTAAACAACAAACATGTAGGTTGTTAGCACGAATAAATTCATAAATGGTGTTTTGTTTGGAGACCTTATTAAGGCCTCTAATGTTCCATGCGGACACAAACATTAAAATGTTTAAGTGGTATTTCTCCTCCCCCCTCTCTTTGGTCTCCAAACTTCTTCTAGGTCCACTCTTGGTTTGTACCTATCAATATAAAGCAGTTTATATGGGTATTTAATAAACCAAGTTGTAAAGGCATACCTTTCCTTCGTAGCAATAACTCCAGGGATCCCCTTGAAGCATTTGAGGGTGAAAGTTAGGCCGACTGTTAGCTCATCATCAATATTCCTCAAGTAGTTATCAAGCATTACCATCTTTTCTTGGACATGTTCCCTATGAAAAAGATGTATGTTTGCTGTATTATCCTCACCAAGGTCCAGCTTAACAATTACATCATCACGATAAGCCTCTCTAATGTCCTTAACAATTCGAACTCTTTTGAGATCATTCCTCTTAGGGTGCTTTACTTTACTAGCATTACCCCGAGGGCAACCATCTTCATAATCTCTACAAAGATAATGTCTATAGACACCTCGCATGAATAAATGGTCATAAGCATATCCTTTCTTAATTGGTATGATTGCAGGAAGGCTCTCCAGGCATTCCTTAGTAAATAGTACTCCGGGATCAAGCCCCTTAAACACTTCAAGATTATGGTCAATCTTGATAATAGTAGCCTCTTTAGCCACTTCCTTTTCATGAGTGACTTTGATAGTAGGCATTAATGTTTCCTCGGTTATCATGTTAACCACAACCTCATCTTGGTAGGCATCATGGAAATTGTTAACAACACGAATTGGTTCATCTTTTTCATGATACTCGGATGTACCTCCTTCACCCCTTCTTGGTTTCTTTAGACTAAGTTTAAAGAATCTAAACTTCTTAAAAAAAGGGTGGTCTTTATGGTTGATCCTCTCTTCCTCTTTTTGTTGTTGGACTTGCTCCTTAATTGTCAACTTCTTCCCACCTTCCTTCTCGCCTTGGTCCTCTTTATCCTTCTTTTATATATTAGCTAGTACCTCACAAGTAAAAGCTTGATGACCCAAGCATTTGCAATGAAAACAATAGTTTGGAAAGGTTTCATACCTCACCCATT